ACACACAGATATGCAGACATTCAGACATACATACCTTCATGGCTATACACATCTAGCCTGACACCTTCCCTAACTACATACCTACATGCATAAAACTAGTCACATATGTTTGCAAAAATGCAGAGGCATCGCAGGCTGAATGAGGCCAAAACGAGAGAGGGAGGAAGGCCTCTACAAGGTGCTGTCGCTGCTCCCGCCAATGCCTCGGCAAACTGTCAGCAGAATCAGGAGCGTGTCGACGTCGGAGATGAAGTTCAGGTTCAGGATCACACATCTAGATTGAGAACGAAAGAACAACCAGCTGAATTCATGACAAGAAGCTCATTGTCTGTAGTCGAGATGATGCTGTCCATGAGGACTGGCGAGTGTGCACGTGATCTTGAAGCGAGGCTTCCATTCGCGGGTGCAAGCGAACTGCTCATGCAAAACGCCGTGATGCATTGAATACCACCTGCCTTGCTTCTATTACACCTGCTTCGAAGGCTCTCGTCTGCAAGCAGAAGCTATGGCTATGGGGTCGTTGTGCCTCCAAAGTTGGGCTCCTTGCGCACGTGAATGCGTGCGACTCGCTCAGCATCTTCAGGATCAGCAACAATGACACGTGCCACGATCCTCTGCACCTTGCATGCGGAAGGTGCTGCATCATTCCGTGGCCACGCTTATGAGCTTGTGGTTGCTGCCTGGTAGATCCAAACAGGTTCTGAGTTTCCCACAATCGCGCTGTCCAAAGGCGTCAACTGCTTCTCTGGAGAGATCTTCTCCGTGACTTTGCTATGCATGACGACCGACGGAACCACAATGTTGCTTCCAAGGCCTTTGTCTCCATAACCTCATGTGAAAAAATGCCAATGCAGGGCTATGGAGGGGCAATGCAGGGTGGTCGGTAGGTGCTGCAAACACTACTGCACCAGGGCACTCGTCTGTACAGGCGCTCCTGATACCCTCATGCCCTTGCTGGATTGCTGCTGGGAGGCGTTCCTGGTAGGCAGCATAGAGCCTCAGACTCGCACTTAGCTGGATGTGCTTACGAGCTCCAGCTGTCTGACACGTTGAAACTGGATCCGCCGCTTCGACTGCATCTATCGGCCCGCTAAAGCCGTAAAGTTTCCATAAAGAAAACTATGGCATAGTTTGGAGCAGACCCTCAGAAGCAAATGCTCGTCCAAACGGAGAACAATAAACTCCCGATTGCATGTTTTGCAAGGAAACGGTGGCACGGTCTGCTTCCGTGCGTTGCTGCCCTGAAGGTGAACACAAGGCACGCAGATCTTGCTGTGGCCAGCCGTTATACCGGCTCAAGCAAAATGTCTCCGCTATGCTCGTTATCGCAGGACTCAGAAGCTTGTCGTCACGCAGTATCTGCATTGCGACGGTCGACACCGCGTGTCCAACGACAGTCAGCAAATGCCAAATATCAAATTTTGTGGGCTGAACGTAGGCCACAAACTAAGGAAATTAGTGTCTTCGCCCGGCTTGATGCAGCCCGTTTTCGGAAGCCCAATCTAGTGGACACTCAACCACGCTGATGTTTGGATGCATGCCAGGCCCGACTCCGCGATGGTTCGGACACTCAGCCAGCTGATGCTCGAACTCATTCCAGGACCGATCCGAAACTTAAAAAAGAAAACTGTGAACGCCGATCGATGGGCATCTCCCGTCTCCTGACAGCGCGAGTTGCGAGCTAAAGCCTCCCCCCGAATCCGCCGATAAGTTCTACCATGTTGCGTCTGGCCGGAAGGGTCTCGTGTGGTTTGCGGTTGGAATTCCCCAACAGCGATGGGCCAAATCCTGTCAAGCTGGAGGTCTGCGGCGGTCCTGGCGTCCTGCAAGCTCATTCCTTTGCAGAGTTACCGCATTTGGCTGCTATTTGGCTTTGGAGCACAGAAGGTCTTGCGCCACAGGAAATTGAAAATAGACTTAGAGTGGTCAGTCTTGCCGGAGTTCTGGCTTGGGCACCGGCGAAGCCGGTCCGATCTGCAGTTCGGCCCTGGTTGGGCACGGCGACTAACATCGCCAGTGCTTGTTTCTTGGGGCGAGGCATAAACTCTTGGAAAAGTATTCATGCTTGGGATCCTGGCCCTGCAAGATCCTGCCAAATTCATGAGGGATGGCGACCCCTGTTGAACAACCAAAGCACCAGCCGACTGCCAAGTCACTGCAGCTGGATACCCTCCTGCTGTGCCATCCAATCCAGCTCCAAAAGCCGCAGCTTGTCCTTTCTGCGGCTCACCATGTCATCACGGTTGCATGCATGCGGAGCCCGACCGCGCCCCGTCTAATCCATGGTGTCCTCCTGTGTCTGGGCGTCAGCCCAAGGTCCAGGCAGCAGCGAGAGCGCTGCCAGGTAGCCCTTGGCCTGCGCGAGCCACAACCAAACGTGTCTCGTAGCTGGTGCTTGGCAGTTGGCGGCGGGCCTCTGCTTTCTCCAACTGCTTGCCCAGACCTGTTCCTCAGTACGCTTGGGGTCTGCATCACGAAGCCCTTTGGCAACAACTTCTTGGCGGATGGCGATGCAAGAAGAAAAACGCATACCACACCATGGGGCGAAACTGCTCAAATGCTTTCAAAGCTTCGTTTGGAATAGGGAGGCTGCATCATTAGCACTTCATGCCTTGGGCAGCAGTGGGAAGAACTTCACGGCTCATGCACCTCAAAGGCGGTCTTCAGAATCACATGCCAGGACACAGAGTCATCGATGGTGTCTCTCCAGTGGTCCGGAGCCTCTTTCACAGCAGCATATTGCCGCACATCAGTGCACGTAGCACGACTGCTACTGGTGTGCCTGTGGATATCCATGATGTAGGTCCGGATGATGTCCACAAACTTATTCTTCCTGACATGGCAGGTGGTGAAACATGCCAGAGGACGTAGGGTTGTCTTTAGCGCCGGGAGCACAACATCGCCGGCTTCGTGCGAAGTCTGAGTCCTGCCTTTGTTTCGCATCTTCCGATGGCTGTGCTGAAGAAGCCGCGGCGGCGCAGCTCTCTGGGGAGAGGCCAGGCGCATCGCCTGCCTTGGCAGCCCCACAGTGTCAGTAGAGACGCAAGACAAAACAGATGCCCACCACCGCTGGAAAAGAACTGGCGCTAGAAGTCGAAGGCGAGTTGGTGATAAGTGGCAAGGAGGTGGCGAGAAATGTGCCGCAAGCGGTCCATGGCTCGCTGCTCACGGCTGACGGATGTGGTCGCGGGGTCGCAGGGCAACAGAAAGGAAGATCAGCCCTGGGCGGCCCCCGAATTGCTGCGCTCCTACGAGTCGATGTTCAGGTTGTGATCTCTTTGTGTCGAAGACTTAGGCCGAGGCTCGAGCCGCAAGCTGCTGGCTAGCACTGAGAACTAAGACATTCCCAGACACTCCCAGATCTGTCGAGCTGTCAGAGTTGTCAGGTGAAGCCTCGATCTCTGGCAGCTGGCGCCAGGGTCGTGGAACCTGTTCGCGGAATCGATCCAATCCTCACAGATCTGGTTTGGGATCGAGGTCTGCGCTGTCCAGTTCGGAGTCTCCGAAGCCATGTCGGCACCAAAGAAGAAATATGGGCAGCTGGAGGGCGGCTTGGGCATCAGGTTTGCTCTGTTGTCTGCTTGTAGCTTGTAGATGTGCCTGCAATACACTGCTAGTGCCAGTGTGGACCATGTGCAGCGCACTGCTCTGATCTGAGACATCGCTGAGCTGCATTCCGTGGAGCTCAAACCGAGGGGCAATGGCTGTTTCACACTGGCCTTCGGATAAAGGGCACTCAGAAAGCCCTGCACAGCGGCAGACCCCTGACAGATGCTCTTCGTTTCCGAGGCAAGCAACGCTTTGCAGTCCGAGTTCAGTACAACATCTGCGAACAGAGGCCAGGGGTGGTCGGCCAGCCATACTGGACACCATTGACTGAGCACTGGCGAATATCAAAGACGCTGATACTCACTGACATTCACCATCACAGGCTGCCCTTCATGCTGGGTCGGAAAAAAGACTCGCGCTTCTAACGAGCTGAGCTCTCAATCCTCTCGATAGCCTTGCGGGCAGGTGCACGGACAACGGTAGCATTCAATACTTCAAGATGTACTCGGCACAAGGACTCAGATGCCGGCATGTTGCAAATACTTCACAAATGCACTTCACAAAAGCAAACGATCGGAATCGGAAGCAAAGCTTTCTGATAGTCGCTAGCCACATCATAGATGTACTCTCAGACAACTGAGATTTCGTCCGATTCGAAGGTTTTGCCCGAGTGTGACAGTCACTGACAATGCATTCAATGAAGTTGGAATCTCTGCACCGGCTCACAACCTGCATCTTGCAATGTCGATTGCAATGTCGAGAGTTATTACAGGATCGCTCCACACATCTCCTGGCTCTTGTCCAGAGGCATTTCCTTGACACGGTATTTGATCTTGTAGAGGCTTGAAACGGTTCTGTTAGAACCACCCGGTCCAGTCCCGGTGAAGTCGAAACAGCGGACACTGCAGAGAGCCACTCCAGACGTCTCACTGACCCCTGGTCTGCGTCTGCAGGCTTCCGGCGCATTTGTCCCTCGATGCCTCCCGCTTCGGCTTACTTCGTCTTTGGCGTTTGCATTCCGGCTACGCTGCTTCCCATCCTCCTCGCCCGCCTGTTCCTCTCCCTCTTCCTTATCACAGGAACAGCAGCTCGCCAGCTGCTCCGTCAACAGAGCTTGTTTGCTGCGTCGATGTTTGCTGAGTGAGTGCAGGAGTCTCTGCAGACATCTCGCGCGGCTCCGACGCGACGAGGGTGGAAAGGTAAAAGACATCTAGTGCTAGGCTCAGAAGATGGCACAAGCTTGAAATGAAAAAGTAAGCTACTGCCAGGTCACCCCAGTAGCGCCCAGTGAGGTTCGCATTCTCGCCAACGGAAGCACGGCCAGGGCCTGAGAAACCAAGAATGGTTGCCCTATCTGGGGTCGTCGAGCATCTTCAGAATATCTATCCTCCCACAGTCTCTTGCGCAACCGTTCCCTCCACAACACGCAATGAAAGATTATATCGGCGAAGTTACGAGGAAGTCAGCAATAGAGCTCTCTGGATCTGCTGGTAAAGAGGCATGCGCTGTGAAGCCAAGTGCTCGTCACTCCGCTCAAATTCCAGCATTGTCACGCTACACAGTCGGAGGGCTCCAGTGCTCTCTGCTGATCTGCTGAGTCGTCCACCAGATCTTGCAACCGGTGAGCTCTGCGAAGACCTCGTGAAGCATGAGAGGCATGCATCTGTATCGTGCTGACCATCTGACCCGTAAGAACTGAGCAAGCGGCTCCAAACTCAATAAACACAACATATCCCAAAGTGTAAATGAATCTGCGGCAAGCCCGAACGAAAAAGGAATTGAAACGAAGGGCTTGAACACTACGACGGCGAGGAAGCAGGCCAGCACCAGCACTGCGTCGACGTTCGGGTTTGCAACAACCTGCTTTAGCTGGCAGCTCTTGCTCGGGAAAACCCCTGGAGCACGCTGCTCCGAGCATGAAGAGCCAACTCTCCTTGTCACTTTGATCACTGGCGCTGCCTTGCCTCGTAGTGTTCAGCTGGCAGTTTGCCTGCTGGCCGTCGGACCGCAGTGGCCTCAGAATGGCGAAAGCCAACACTCGAAGACGCACAGGGTCAAGGCCGTGGTCAGGAGCTCACAATTCAGCCGCCCACCCTTTCGAGGACACGTCCACCGGAAATCGAAGTCATCTTGTAGTCTCTGCGGTCCTGGGGCAAGGCTTCAGGGAGCCAAGATTGCCACGCGAACCGGCGACATCCGAAAACCACTCCTGACGAGTGCTGACAGCCTTGGAAAACATGATCGTTCAGGCTTTCGCTTTGCAAGGGCAAGAAAGTTCATCAATTTTCCAGTCTAAAAACTGCCTCAGTCCTGTATGGGGTTTCCTAGGCTCCAGGCCAGGAGTGGTCGCCCAGCCCGGTCACGAAGAGTATGCTGAAGGCACTCGGGACGGTCTCCCTCCTTTCGCGTCTCGAGTTGACAACTTCGAAAGCTGCGCTCGCTTGAAAATCCAGAAGGGGGAGCCTGGACTAACGTTCCGAAGTGAGTTCCGTCGCTGCCAAAGACTTCTTTGGCCTTTTGCGCCGAGCAGAGCACTCACCACAAAAAGAAATGCATGGAGCCCCCGAATGAAAATTCCAACACTGAGCTGGGAACAGAGGTCACAATTGCCAAAAGCGTGCCTGAGTTGAACAAACGGCTACGAAACAACTAATTACTTCTGCATTGCCGATGTCATACACATCTTCAGCTCGAAAGGAATGACTGGTGACTGGTATCTGGCTCGTGCTGGAAGCTTGCCCCAGCCACAGTCGTTACTTCGTGGGTCAATGCCTGTGGGGAGGCCTGCGACTGCCGTGCTGCCAGAGTGCCTGCGCTGTGTAGAGAGATCTGCACCTCCATGACTCCATGCCAAGCACAAAGCAAAGCAAAGGAAAAGCATATGGACAACGACAGATAACCTGCATTCAATGATGCCTTCCGCAAGCCATTTTCCTGCGTGAGCGCAGCCGTGAGCAACGGTACGCCTGGGCAGCAGACGTGGTAAGCCCACCCTGCCGTGCAGCCTCCCCCAACCCTTCCAGGCGTGCCGGCCTGACAATCCAAGTACATCCACCTCGAACTGGTCGTGAAACAGCGGCGAGACCGGCACTGCCAGCCGTGTATGTGCGGCTGGAATCACAAGAGGCGGGTAGATAGTAGGCAGCTCCGGGTACCAGTTGTCGCCTCCCAAGCACATGATCAGCATGCCCCTCATTTACTGCCACGCTCGGTGGGTCATCATTTTGTCCATCTAGTGCATCCCAGATGGCAGAAACACCCGTGACATAGATCACACCGAAATGCCACAACAAGAAAGGTCGCCTGAAGATCCCCTGACGGCACCTGTGGACTTACGCGCGGTCAAACTCAATCTCATTGACGAAGGTGGATTCAGCGGGTTCAGCGAGCGCACGGAGCCGGCTTCAAGGGTTGGGCGCTGAGACATCGCAGGATACATCCTGAGCTGCACAGTGCTGCACACTACCGTTTGTGCGACTGAAATGAAGCGCCAGCGCTACATGCTTACAGCGTCAACGCGAGACCCACATGCTTCGAAATGGTCTCAGATCTATTGCAGAAAATTATGCGAGGAGTTGGTGGCGACTGGCTTTCGTGGCATGAAGAAACGGCTCACGACAGCTGCAGTGTTGATATGCTCGAGTAAGTAACTGCCCACAAACCAGTATGCGGTCTGCCCCCAACCTTGTGCACATCGACTTCGTCGGATGGCTACTCAAATCGAGGCTCTGTCTGCCTGAGAGCAGTTGTCCAGCATTTCCATGCTGCCTTCCCGCCAGCATTCTGTGATCTCTTCCTCAGTATTTTCGCTGTCATGTTTTGAATGTCTGCTGCTTAAGAAGATTTGTCACCGATTGACAGTTATGCCGGGTCGGCCATCTACTCACGAGCGCCGTTATGACGCCACGATGAAGCGAAATCATAGCTGTCCTGCTGATGTCTGTTACACCGGTGATTTCAGGGACACTCGCGTCCCAGTCCGACAGGAGATGCTGCATGAGCATGCCAGGCACATGATGCTCCATCATGCAGGATTGGCTTCAAGCTGGTCTACCCAAACCCATCAGTCAATCAGGTGGACTAGTTGCATAGCAATACGGATACGCTTCCAAAGCCAAGGCACCGTCATGCTTGTCCTCGCTGGGGATGCATGCCATCCAGTACAATCCAAAGACCGATGCTAGAAAGATGGTGGTGAAGATCAGGGCCTTGTCAGCTCAGCAACAGCAACGGCAAACAAAGCAAATAGCCTTAGCTACAATGTGCTGAGTTTGCCCAGTGAGTCTGGTGGTATTGCGGAGCACTGCGAAGCGAAAAACTGCTCTCAGTGCGTTCTGCCAAGTGTTGGTCGACATGCTGTCCTACAAGCAGAGAAAAAAATCTCAAATCATCCGAACACCAGAATCGCCGTAAGCCAGAGTGAGAAAGAGAGCAGCCTTTTGCAACAGATTTGGATGCAGGTTCCTTCTCCGGCGGGGTCCCGCCCTCGGGTTGCTGGGCAGGGCGGCTAGCTTTTGCCTGAGCATACCCCTCTAAAATACACCATAGAATCACTAGCAGTCACTAGCACATGCACACGAAGCATTAAAAGTTGGGGGAAAGCCCCGCTGTCGGTGAAACGAACCAGTAAACTGATCCTTGGCTGGCGCACACCGCGAAATGTAGCTCACAGTCAATCTGTACACTTGTCGGAATCCTGTCCTGAAAAAAATTAGCGAACTCTACTGCGTCACTACCTCTGCTCCATCTAGCCAAAGACTGGCCGCACTGGGTCTGGAGCATTCCGGACATGGGTTAAGACGGCCCAACGCGATGTCCATGAGCCCACTGAAATTCATGCTGCGGAGCACTCCTGACAACTCATGGGCCACTCTGCAGGGCACAACAGGGTTGGCCCCAGAACGAACAAGATATTTGAAGCGCTGGTGAGCCAGTTCAATGACTGGTCGGGGATCGCCGGCTGACAGCTCCCAGGTTTCAACTTGTGCTCGTAAGTAGGGCCACAACAAGCGCCATATCTGTGCTTCGTTCAAGTCACGCAAGTAGGCACGCTGCTTCTTGTTTGGAAGACTTTGCAGCTGCTCATGCCTTTCATGACATTGATTGCACCGCTCTCCGTAACGGCAGTGGCCCTTGGCGAAGAAACTGCATGGCCGCGCACACAAGTTCGGATGTCCTATAGAGCCTGCAGAATAAGATGCTCCCTCCGATTGGCTGACAACATCTTGACAAGTGCCCCGTCCAGCTTCACTTATCTGAGAAGTAGCCCGGGCATTGATCATCATTCCAATCGGTGAGCCATCCAACCAGGCATCTCCGCTTGGCATGACTGTCGATACAGGCTCTGACTTCTCAGCATCTACCAAAAAAGCTGCTTGCCGCAAAACGGCTACCCGGCAGATTTACTCTAGTCGCAGTCCAGAAACATCCCGGCTCAAGAGACAAATATGCATTGGCATCATGCCAAGAGCCTGCAGTGGCTACACACAAGGATAGTGCCGTGCCTGCCATGCACCGCCAGCAATGTTGTCTTGGACCACCTTCATGCATGTGTGACTGTCTTCCTGTCTTCGCACCTGCCTGAGACGGATATTTCTCCCGTGATTCGCTGCTGTTCTTCTCTGCATGTGGCCGTCTCAGTCCTGTCAGTTCCTCGTGCCGCACATTGGGTGAACTGGCCACTACATGACACCACATACATGCATACATACAGACATAATTACATACATACGTACATACATACATGCAGACGGGCATGTCTACCGTTACGTGCGAGCATATGTATACTGTACAAAATGATTGAGTACTCTCGCTCTCACTCTTTGTCTCTCTCTATCTCTTGCTTGCACGCATCCAGGGAGGAAGCAGCGCTCCCTCTCGCGCACGAGTGCGCACTGGGTCTGTCTTTGGACCCTTTGACTGAACGAGGCGCCGGCTTGCTCTGTTGTAACCCCCCCTGTATCCCTTTACACTACGTCCGAAGAACCCCCCGCCTCGCGCCTCGTCCGCTGGGGTCCGGCTTTTGTTCCGGATTGTGTCCAAAAGCGCTGTCGGGCCCCGTTTTCCCCCGAAACGCGAACACTCTCTACGCCTGACTTTGCGACCCTAACTGACCGCAAACTGCAAGCCCACTGAGGCTCGGACCGGGACTAAGCTTAACCCTTGTAGTTGTGTTGGTCGCTTCAGGCTGACTCGGTTACCTCTCTCTCTCTCTCTCTGTCTCACTCTCTCTTTCTTGCGCAGGCCTTCGTCTTCAGAAACTCTCGGTGGATAGATAGTCAACTAATCTCGTTCGGTCGGCATCGAAACTGAAGCCAGTAGAAGTCCAGGAAAAGTTTCATCAGCTTCGCAACATACACTTTGCAGAAGCATGCAACCTGCCATGTGCCGTGTGGTCGCAAAAACAAAACTGCACCCACACACCCTGCAGGATGCCTCTACATTCCCGCGCTCTCGGTGGCAATATCTCTCTCGCTCCGTCTCCCGCTCTTTGAGAAACTCAAGCTAGCGCAGTTCCCGAAGCAAAGCGCCTCCTTGTACAAACTCCACTGCCCGGCACTGGCTTTCTCCATAATGGCCACTAGGCCAGAGCTTGCTTCCTCAGTGCAAGTCATCTCCGAAGGTCGATATCAGACAGGCATGATTGCTCAACCTTTTCTGGAAAACCCAGCTTCTTGGAATCTCCAGCCGAAGGTTCTGATCTCTGTGTCGACACGAGGGACACAGGGCCAATGGCCTACAGGTCCGGAGGCGTCACTGTGCATGCATGGATGCATGCATGCATGCATGCATGCACGCATGCATGCATGCACGCACATCTATGTGCTTGTGTGGGTGTGCGTGTGTGTCCTTGCATGTGCCTTCGCGTCGTGCGCGTGTGCATGTGAGTGTATGTGCGCATATATACACAGATAGATAGGCACATGTGTATGAAGATGTGCGTGCATATGTATGTGTACATGCATTTGAACATGTACATGTGTACGTATGTGGGAACTCATATGTGTATGTACAGGTATATGTCTGTGTAAGAAACAGCGATGCTCGAGGCGTGCACAAGGGCATCCACTAAATACATGTATACACATTGAAAGGTATAGATCTATATATGTGTATGCAAAGATATGAGCGTAAAATGGGCATATGTCTAAAGAGTCTAAAGTACATTGCACGATGCACTGGTACGCCTCTTTGTGTTCTCGACTCGCAGATGCCACAAGCTCGTCGTCTAGTGGCGCCAATGGAATCATCAACGAGATATCCACGCTCCCCACACACTGCTTAGCAAAACCACAGCCGATGGAATCTGCTGTGTGACAATCAGCGGGAAAGGAAGACCCTGTTCACGTTGAGCTTGAATCTAGTCCGACCTTGACCTAATGTGACTTCGCAAGTGCAGCATAAATGGATCAGCATACGACTACTAAAACGGAAAGATGCAACGACACGGATGGATACAGCCAAAAAACAAAGACACGGTGCACAGACGTAAACACAGAGAAGGGGCAGAGCGACAAAAAGCTAGATAGAGAGATATAGAGAGAGGGCGAGAATCAGCGCGAGCGGGAGAGTAGTCATCGCTGGTCGGTGCATCCTTTCCTCGCGCCGAAATGCCATCCTGCATATTTAGCCTCTATGACCACTTCAAGGGCTTCTGCACCCGCCTTTGCCCTAGAGGCAGGTGATCCACGAGCGACAGCCGCCTGCCAAGCTGCAAAGCAACGGGCTTGCCAGAATTTGGTCTGCGATCGAAATTTCTGCAAGCCTTAAGTGTCCACGAAGGTTCCCGTACCTTTCCCCAAGCCCTCCTGAAGCAGGTGCAGCAAGCCGGGCTCTGAGTCCAGCGTCACGGCGCAGCCCTCGGCGGAGCCTATGCCTCCTGGCAAACACGCAGACTTACCCTGCAAGAGATCTGTGAACAAAAAACTGCCTGTGAGAAGTTGGCCCTGCACGAGGGTGAGAAGCAAGCTGAAAGCGAAGCCGACGGATGTGAAGAACATGGCATCTGATGCAGGAGGCTACAGACAATACAGGGCCGGCGTGCGAAGCACCAACGAGATTTACACTCTACTGTATCCTCTGACTGCATGGCTGAAGCGTTCGTGCACACGTCACGTGTCAAGGCTCTTGCTTCGTGCTAGTACTGGGGCTGTGAAATGCGATGTTTGAACGGTAAACCTAATACAAGTGGACTGACAGCAAAGCAAACAAACAGCGAACAACTTCAGCCGATTGTTAGGCATCTCCCGCCCCTTTCCAGTTTCAGGTAAAGCGAAGACTGGCTTGGAGGGTTTCAGTCCAGTCCATCTGAGCCCACATGTTCATAGCAGGAATCATTCACCTCTCCGCACGGATGCATGCACCACATGCCCTGCACAACTGGATACTCACCATTTCTCCCCTCAAGCCGCCTGCACAGCTCTATAGAATGCTGTGACGTTCATGCGGAGCCAGGAGTGAAGTAATTCAAGATCCAGCAGTACAAGCTCTCTTACCGTTCAATGGGCTCCCTCTGCTCCCCTTGCTCCTCGAATACCCTTCTGTCCGAGAGACAGCAGAAACCTCTGAATTGTTCCGAGGCCTTCGCCGTGCTGCAAGAGCAGCTTAGCAAAGAAAGGCCTTCGTCTAACTACTTGCAGCATCACGCAGCCATGACCGTACTGAGCGATCATGCGAGTGGTCGGCAGACTCTTCTTGGAGCGGCCAACTAGATACGAGATTCGAATTCATGGTGAAACAGGGCCCAAGTCGAACTTCTTTCAAACGGCGCTTACAAGATGATGCGAGGCCCCCAGAATCTCAGCGACATGATGCCAATTCAGCCACCAGTTCGGCATTCGCAGCCTTGGAGCACAACCCAAAACCGATCCGACTGGAGTCCTGAGTCCTGAGCCCATCTGAGCCCACTGCCTTGAGCAAATGTGGAGCCAACGGAAGAGCCGAAGGGGCCGGCGGAGGCAAGACCGAAGTGCTCGGAGGCGGCAAGGGTGGTAACGCGAGCTGGCTGTGAGCTTCGTTGACGGTGACGGCGTACTTGCCTTCTGAGGCATCTTTTCTTTGATCAATTGGGAGACAGAAGCACAGCATCAGGGTGCTTGTGACTGCAGATCTTACGGTCCTAGCTGTCGTAGTCATGGACAAGGTACTGGGACGCCCAACTCGGATCTTGCGACCGAAAAGCTCCTGGGCTTCACAGCGACTGGGCTTTGTACCACATCCGGGATAAGCGCAGAAGTAAGCGATAGCCTATCAGTCATCTATCGAACGGACACGGACGTGACGGATTTGTTTAAGCATGCGGCTGTCTCGTCAAAGATGGAGATCATGCGGGTGGCAACAGCAGCACTCTGGAACAAGACGAAGCAATAGTTTCCAGGATGTGGAATGGTGACCTGCAGCGCAGGAGACTGGTGGAGGTTAGTACTTGTACGACTTGTGTGCTAGCTCAGGCAAGCAACAACTGACACAGTCACAGAGGCAGATTTTTCCAGACACTCATCGAATCTCCCCGCCTTGCCAATTGCTGGGCCCAAGTCTGGGTCAAATTCAGGGACTTCAACTGCTGCCGGCTGGAGCAGTTCGCGCATAACCTGGAAAGACCGGTTCATGACAGTCACAGGGGCTGGGATAGAGATGCGCTTCATCTCACATCATGAGCCTCCTCGTCCACCATCCCAGTGGCCAGGTTTCCGAAGTACACTTCACGGACTACATTCGCGACCCCTTCCTTTGATTCCTTCCATTCTCCAGGAGCTGCCGCTGGCAAGAGCCCCTTTTCACGAAGAGGCTGAACATCGAGGCCTGCCAGCTCTCCATCGTGCGGGGGTTCGTAGCTCTGCGGCCGTCCAATCCTGATGGACCTGTTCTGAAGCTCGAAGCCACTCATCTGCATGGCAGTCGTTGTGAGGACATCGTCCACGAACTCCACAAAAGCAAACATCCCTTCGCCCTTCGGCGGGAAGTAAAGGGAACGTATTACATCGACAATGTCTGGGTATCTCTCCACGAAACTGGGAAGATCCAAGAAGAGGCGATTGAAGGCTTGTCGCAGCATTGGCTCATCCACCTGCAGTGACTGGTCAAGCTACGACAGCCATGCTACATGGAGAGCTTTGCAAGAAGGCCCGTCTGCAAGCCCTCACTCTCAACAGCTTCGGGAGAGGCCTTGTGTTGTGGGAGATTGCCCACATACAGTTCCCGACGCTTCTTCCCATTCGCAGTGGGATCCAGCAAGCGCTTCAGCGGCTTCTGGTCAGGATTCGCGGGATCTGGCCTGCAGGGACAGCGAGGCATCTAGAGAGCGACCAGACCAGAAAGGAAGCGGAGCCAAGCGGAGCCTGGCCTCACGTCCCATTTGCTTTGCCCTTGCCTCAAGTTCGGTCTTGAAGTCTTGGAATCACGCCTTCGAGACCTGAACGCGAAAGTGGCCAACCCCAGGCCTCACACCTGCCCAAATCCGCCTTGTCCTCCTACGGCTGCGGCTCGAGTTTGAGCGACCACGAGGGGACAGGCCTTTGATGTCTATGGTTTGGTTTGCAAGCGTGACGGACATCTCTGGCTTTGAAAGATGGAAAGTCAAAGTTGAGTTCAGCGGCCGAGCTCGACGCGAGTACCGGCCCACTCCGAACGCCTGCCAGGCCCCGTGCAATCACGCCTCTGCCCAATGCACACAACATCCAGGCCCTTAAAGCCTGCAAGAACAAGCCCACCTCGGCAGTCTCTTGCGGTTAGCCACACGCGCCTGGAGGAGGAAGACACTCTGCCGCAAGTGACAAACTTCGCTTCCCACACCGTCTTGCGGGCAAAGCAACACGAAGGCTTTCACGACGTGAGCTGGGACTGCGAGGTCGCTTTGCATGGCGCCGTGATGTATTCCGGGTTTTCGGTGATCTTCGGCGAGATGCTGGTGACTCACCCGGCAGCTCGTTGGGCGGGTGCACAAAAGTCGACCGTCTCCTTTCCTGAAGCGCGAAAATTCTGCGTGTTTTGAAGCCCTGCAGGATCCACCACCCCTCGGCGGCCTGGGCCTGGGCCTGCTGCTCGTTCTTGGAAGGCGTTGTTTTGCCTTTGGTTTCAACCTCTTCCTCTTCGCACTCACCGTCCGAAGAGGACTCAGCCCTCAGATCATGCCGGCGAATCTTGCTGTGTCCTCAAAGCTTCCAGCTCGCAACTTATGCAAATGCCCAGGCACGCAGAGGCTGCTTCTGTTTCTGTGACCTCCCCACTTTCCTCAGCCAACGGCTTTGTGCTGCCTTCCTTGCCCACCTCCTCGCCGCTCTGCTGGCTCCCTTCCTCCTCCTCCTCTTGGCTGCTTTCCTCCGGTTCCGTGGGCTCCTCGTCGCTCTCTTCAGCCTCTTCCACTTCTCCAGGCTCCAGGCCTGGAGCTGAAGCAGTCCTGAAAGAGAACTGAACTCCGCTGCTTCTTCACACGCCTGAACATGCCGAGGCGCTCTTCGAGCTCTTGGGCAACCTCGCCTTCCTCTAAGTCTCTGGAATCCTCAACCGCCTCAACAACCTGCGCTGCACTCGAGGAGCCACAAGACCCTGTGCCGAGCACTCGTACGGCCTCCCCGTCAGAGTCTGCGTCGGATGCCTCTCCTTCGGCTTGGGACATGACCGGGCCGACCGGCCTTGGCGGCACCGCGGCAGCGGAACGAAAGCTATCTTCACACCACAATGCCGTGAACGCACAACGCGGCATCTTGCGGCCAAGTACGGGCCAGAGTCTGTCATGCCATCGCTCACTTCGCCTTCCTCAAGCTCGTCTTGGTCTGCATCGCTCACGGCGATGGCCTGTCATTTGGAGCGTTTCCCCTTGTTCCCGGAGCTGAGAACTCCCCTCTACAGCAGGCCTTTACAGGCCTGTTCGATTCAGGTCTCGATGGAGCCTTGCTCCTGCAAGATACTGAGCTTCTTGGGCCGGACTCTATTCGCAAGTCTGATTGCAGGCTCTTGTGCTAACGCACTGCTCTGGTGAACCTCGGCTTGAGGACGCCTTCTGAAACTTGGTGTTCGAAGCCTTCGTGGAGCATGACTTGCTGCTAGTCCTCGGGCATGTCAACTCTTCGGCATGCTCGTCCGACATCTCCGTATCCTGGACAGGCTGTGGCTGTGCTACAGCGGTTTTCCTCATGCTGCTGACGAACTGCAGATGCATGAGGAATTACTGCCCACACAACGATTCGCAAAGCGATTCGCAAAGCAGAGCGCAAAGCGGAGTCCTTGGACACCTCAAGCGTCAAAACATCCTTGCAATCAGCTTCCTTCCTCGTGCGACTTGACTTGACAAGAAAGACATCTGCCATTAGTAGAGAAAGCCAAGTCAAGACTCCTCGATTGCAAAAGCTGTGATTCAACAGGCCGTGCATCCTACGGCGCAAGGGCGGCTCCGAACTCAAGAGAACGAGCTTTTTTAAGCACTCCGTCCTTCTCCACCTTCTGGTGCTGCACCCCGTGCCTCCGCGAGTGGGGCATGCGCAGGATGAGAAACGCACCTCTGACTTTGCATCCAAGCTCTAGGACCTCCTCGGAAGGAACGATGCGAGGTCTCCCTGCGCAGGAAATCCATTTAGTCTAGCAAAGCATGCAGTGGAATCGAGTCTTGTGGAAGTCTTCTTGCAAAAATGTCTAGTGCCAATATCTTGGGGGCGTACACAGATCTGAAGAGAACCCCGAGGAGACATCCGGAACTATTTTCCAAAAAGTGCGCAGGTCCGTCAGGGCTCTGTTGACTGATGGTCAGTTCCGTGTGAACCGTGCGACCGCACAAGCATGCAAAAGGTCGTCGCAGTCGTCGGGGCTCTGGAGGACAAGGCAAAGGGGACTTGACGTTAAATGGAACCGTAGCAGTGAAGCCACACTTGCTCAGCGAGTCCGAGGAGGACAGTGAAAATTCCTCCTCCCCCAGCGGCCGCCGCACTTCCTTCGACAGCAACTCAAGGAGCCCAAGGAGCCCTTCGCCTTGGACAAGTTGCGTAAGAGACGACTCGACTGCTGCCTTGGCTGGAAAGGCGCCCAGTGCACACTGTTCGCAAAGCTCCACGTCTATCCAATGCCTTCCGCGTCGTACCTGTTGAGGTTCACTGTCCGAGCTGACCTTCAGAGCCACGATTCGAGCGTTGTCTGGGCCCTGTAGCTCCAGGCAGTTCAGCGCCTGCAATGGAGCGGAACGCTTTGCCGTTTGCTTCAGTCGAAAGGAATCACCCGCAAATTCCATCGGAGGATCCAGTGCGTCTAAACAAACGATTGCCACAAAGTTTCCCACGTTGGAGGTCCGAGGCTTACCCCGGCTCGTTTATCGCAAGGCTCCGCCCCAGCAGGTTTGCATAGCTACGCTCCAAGTCGCCGATACCATCGCCATCAATCGTCCGCGTCTTCCATGTCCTTCTCTTCCACCAATCTGTCTTTCCTGTCTTCATTGTCTAGCTCGCCGACTTCAATCCCAAGGCCTTCATGTTTTGCGGAGTTGGCGGCCCTGTTCAGCTCTTCCAAGCTCAGCAGCTCCTCATTGTCCAGAAGTCGGTAAAGCATCGCCACGGACAAATGCTCGAAATTGGTCCTGAGATTGCGGTTCAAGTTGAACAGCTCCTCGATCTGCAGTTTAACAAGATCCAGTCGTTTCTGGTGGTCATCGGGAATCCCTGCGAATCTGTGAGCTTGCCGAGGCTCGGAATGCTTCTAGTTCTGCATCTTTACCTCTACACGAGCTGCCCAGAAGCCAGGATGACATCAAGAATTCCTGTGTGTACTGTCGTAAATGATGCCACGTTCTATGTGGGGATAGGACAGTTTGAATGTAGCACAAGCGTCCGTGCATTTATGCAAATCTTGACTTCTTGACCCGACAGCTTGGCAAGACTCGAAATCGAACCGCGGAGATGTGCGACTTAGACTTAGATCCTCTGTATGGCGAATGCTCCTGCTGTGAGCTTTGCAAGGGTAAACACGCTCGGCACTGCCAACATATGCCACGATTTTGGAAGCGACGAAGCACGGGGCTCTGTTTTGCGACGCTTCTGCCGGTGCCAGTGCGGCGTGGGACACCTGGCTCAGTTGCAGGGCGTGAGGCGCGCGCGCGTCCAGCCTCGGAGCCTCGGTCCTTAGCCGCCTGAGCCTTGCCGCCCGGCCTCTGCGAAGGGCACGGGCCCGGAGTGCCGCCCGGGGCTCTGGGCCGCGGCTGGCCCGGCCGGCCCGTGAGCTGCAAAGCGCTTTGCAGCTCCTCGGAGTCGAACGAAACTCTCCTCTCCGTTTCTCTTCGTCGGCCTTCCTCACGGCTTGGGGTGGCACCGGTGCGGCAAAGTGAGAGGCAAGAACATCCTCGCGCGACCATGACAGTGTCATCACTAGCAGGATTGCAGACGCATATCATATCACATTGACATATTGTTTCAAGCTCGTAGGTGGAGGCTGATCAGCAAATAGAACATCCATGCGATTCTGTCCGGCGACTGACCGACCACAGTTCGCGGAGTCCTCCTCGACAGCAGCCATGACCAGTTCATGATCTCTTCCTGACAGTCGCATCCAGAGAGCCAGAGAAGAGAGCGTCGGAAGAACATAGCAGGAGCCATGTAAAATCCGCCAGGATGCTGAGAACCTCCGCCGCATATTGCAGCGCCTCCAGGAGATGACACTTAAAGGTCAGAGTCTTCCGTGGAGTCCCAGAAACGCCCCCAAAGGCGATTGCCCCAGCCTGGCCATCCTGGTGAAGAGCGCGTCTCACCGTGTCTCGGTCAGCCCGCAGAGCATCGCTGGCAAACCTCGGCTTTTCTCTTCAGCTTCTCCGAGTTCTTCGATCCAAGTCCGGGCGAAGAGCTCCAAAGCCAAGCCATTCTGCGAGACCGCTGCGCAGACCTGACGAGCAGGGGGCCACTCCTCCAAATAAACCAGAAAGACTTGGAGAAGATTCTGAAAACTCCTGCATTCGTCCAGGCTGCGACTTCCGCATTGTTTCGCAGCTCTTCAGCTGCCATCTTCAAATCAAGGCCGTTTTGTCGCACGGCACAGAGCACCTGAGCGTGCCTATTCGGTGCAACGAAAAGGCAAGGTCGCATGAGCTACAGCAGCTACAGAGCATCATGCGGGCCAGGCGCAAGTTCTTTCTGTGCCCTCATGCTCGGCGACGCAAACGCAAGAATGTTGCCTCGTGTAGCTGGCAACACCACGTGGGAACCTGTGCCATCCTACGCACTGCGCCACGCTGCTGTGCTGCTTCACCATCGCCATGAGCACTTCTGCATCCTCTCACTCTCACGACAGGCAACTTTGTTGCATCTGCCACATCGGACAAAACTACTCGATACAGTCAATAACAGCATGAGGCAGTAGCATCAGGCCAGAAGCAGATATTTGCCAAGCGAAGGTAACCCATAACACGAGACCACCAGATTCCAAGGCTGGGTTTCCCTGGATGAGATTGCGAAGCACCTCGCGCAGCTCGACAGCACCCTCGGCGAGCGTTCTCTCGATGTTGTGCCTTGCCCACAGCTGCCCTTTACATAATCCTGGGCTTCAGAACAGCTCAAGCCGCGCCTGGCGAGGCTCTGCACGTCTTCGTCGGAGTGGAGAGTGCAGCAGCTCAGGACGGAGCCGTGGCACTCGAGAAGCTGAAGGAGGACATCAACCCCCGCCTTCAATGGAGCTGCAGACGAATCCACTCCGCTCCGCTCAGCACAAAGCACCAAGCAGCCTTGAGGTCGACGGCAGCATACAGCAAGGCCCGACCCGCAGATCTCAACGCGCTCAAGACGACCTGCTGCCGGCTTGTGACGACCGCCCTTTTCGTGCAACGACGTGGCATGATCAGAACTGCAGGGAACTGGATGACGCATCATTGCACGACCGACCGCAGCACCTCCTTGTCGCCACGGAGAGGCAGGGCAGCCTGCTCCTCGCCACTGACATCTATTCAAAAACGCCGAAACTGGCTTCGTCGGTTTGCACGGTCCAGCATATTGCCATTCTGCGCCACGGCAATCAGCACGATCTCCTCAGTTCCAGTCCCGATGGAAAACAATGTTTCCGAGGCACTCGTGTTCCTCCTTTCGAGATCTACCCTTCTCACTCCCCCTGAGTTCCCAACGCGGTCACAGCGCAGCGGCGCCGCTGCGAAGCTCAGTGCCATGCCGGAGGTCCTCCGGCAGTGGGGCAGGGGGCAGGAAGGCGAGTTGCCCCGGGCCAGTCCTCACGGCTGTGAGCACAAGGTCACGGTCTGCCTGCAGCTCTTCGGCTGCGAACTCCTTGCGAAGCGCAGAGAAGCGCAGAGAAGCGCAGAGCGCAAGATGCTGCAAGGAGCCGCTCTGCTCTCGCTCTGGGCAGTGTGAACTTGCGGACCAGCTGCCAACATCCTCCCCTGCCTGCGGACAGCTTCCAGAACCACCTCTTGCCATGCAAAGAAACAGAGTGGTCAGGCAGCTCAAGCCAGTATCAGCCATTGTAAGACAGGAGTTGGAAGGGAAGGCCAAACTTACAACTCCAAATTCGAAGGTTAAGAGCTGCTCGAAAGAACGCTTGCGCCTCGCGATCGCCTCGCAGATCTGCCGATGCGAGTGCAAGGGCAAGGCCGTCCTCACGTCTCGGCGAAGCGATGCGAAGGCGATGCTGAAGCGATCTCCCTCTCCTGCCCTTTCCCGCCCTCCTGACAAACGGCCGTGCGGACCAACTCTCGATCAGCTCGAAGCTTCTCGCACGCAAACTCCAATGCCAGGCCATTTTGTCTGCATCGAAGCAGCACTTCAGCTTCGACTCCAACGCATGACGCGACCCTGGGGTGCCTGACCGCCTCCATGACGACCTCTCTGTCTGCACACATCTCCTGCCCGGCTCCGCAGCACCACGTGTCAGAGGTCAGAGCTATCAACCGTGTGACTCCGCTTGCACGGCAGATCTCCTCTGAGGCACACTGTAGAGCAATGCCGGTCTGTCTCACAGTTGCCAGCACCACTTGCTTGTCTGCCCGAAGAGCATCACCAGCGTGTTCAAGCATATGGCCATATTGACCTCAGATTGAGCAGTCGCGGCTGATAAAGATGATACAGAGAGGGAGGACATTCCCAAAGAGTTGTGTCACGAATTGCGATGACGATGGGTCAAGACCAGTCCAGTGTGTTGGAAATATCCTCTGCAAAGCATGTAAAGCATGTCAGACCTCCGCAGGCATAGGGTCATAGGGTCTTCTCATTTTGCATGTAGGTGAAGAGGGCATCAACGCACAGACTGTCTGTTACCGATGTGATGATTTGATCGTCCACTGTCGTCAAAGCCACGATGATCCAGCCTCATGTACATGAACATATCAAAGTTTGGGTTGCAGACTCATTTATATTTGGCAGGTCCGACCGAAGATATGCATGTGGTACGCAGTCTAGTGGGCTTGTCAGCGTATGCGATATGATCATTTTGTCACCCAACTCCTGCATGTCTAACAACCCGATGGCCCGGCCGTGCTGCTCTTCACATATCCAGAAAACTCCAAGGATCCCGCTGACGGCAGCAAGGACAACCTCCATGCAGCCGCGAAATCCACTAAATGCACAAGGTCCAGGAGTGTCCC